CGCCGATACAACGCCGAAGGAATCGATAGAAAGTTTGCATATAGATCCATTGAGCACGCCTTAAAATGATACCTTGATAGTGGGAATCACTGAGGCCTGGTTCGGTTCGACACACGGCGAGTGTCTCGAGCCTTGTATGCTAGCAAGAGGAATGACAGCGCGAATGAGCTTGTACCACAACGCCTCGACTGGCGTTCGAACTTGGTGGAGCTCGTCACGGGGGCGGAAGAGTCTTTTGGTGTTTCTCGAAGACTAAACCTGCACACTACTTCGGCGACGAAACCGAAAACTAAGCTCACACTATTATTCTCCGCACCCCCTAGAAAGAGGATGTTCACATCCCCTTCTCTTCGCTAGCTGGGCTGGGCTGGGCTGAGGCTGTAGCTCCAGCACGTGTGACTGGCTCGGGAAGCGAGCTTGATCACTTGCTGGAGTGGAGTGGAGGGGGTGGACCGTCCCAGCCGAGGACCAAAGGCAGGCCACCCGGAATCCTGGTCGCCGAGAGGCAGGCTTTGCCTGAAGGATGCTGACAATGGGAGCAAAGAAAAATTCTGGAAGTCGAGTCCGGCGAAGAGGGAGAATCGGGAACCACGTCAGGAAGAGGGCCAGGACGGCAAGAACACACAAACTCTGGTCATGCGGACGGCGGATGGCCGGGAGGACAAGACTCTTCTTCAGGCACGGGGTGGGGCAGGCGAGCACAAAAATTGATCTCTCGAGCAACACGGGCCAGTTTCTCGCCAACCATAGTGTAATAGATGGAAAACTAAAGCGATCTGTGACTCAGCCAAGAAAGACTCACGGGGAAGGAAAAGAATCCTCCCTCGCGTTCGATAGACTAGCTGGGGCGAGGATGAGACGAGACAAGCGAATCTACAGTCCACTGCCAAGGTAGAGTAGACTTTTGAAATGTCCTCCTCCTGCGCGATGTCTTGCCTTCCAACATATTGCAAAGAGAACCCCGGAGCTTCCTTGGCGCACCAGGATCCGATTTTGGTGGGCGGGATTGCCGTGCTCGGTGCCCGAACGGCAGGCTTGAGATTGGGTGGATAAACCCACCACTCCCCAATCCTAGTCCCTGAGGCGCAGGCGGGCCAGGGGGGCATGGACCTGCAGTTTTGACTGAAGGGTTGACGGAGGCTGCCTTGGGAGAGGGTCCCCATGGCCCGTCTCCCCGTGCAATCTCTGGAATCGAGTCCGCGATCCGCCGAAACAGGCCACCACGGTGGTCACCGACACGAGGAACGTGCGATTCGACGCTGGCTCGATTTTTTTCCACCATGCATTCCTTCCCTACCAAACAGATTTTGAGTACCTTTTATTTTGTTCATTTTCGGATTCCTTTCTCAGACGGCAATGAATATGTCAAGTGAACTAGCGTTGAAAAAGAAAGAAGAAAAATACGCCGACAATTCTGATTGATTCAACGGAGCTCAGGTCTTCATGCGCCTAGACTCCACTGTTCTGAGATTTCATCCTCCCAACATTACATATACTGAATGTATTGAATGAATCAAGCCCTCCAAATTAGCGATCACAAACAAAGCCATGTCCAGCGCACTACACCATGCAGACGAACTTTACATGTAGATTTCCAAGTCATCCTCATCTAGCCAATGACTGCTAGGGTTTCGTTTCAGCATCATGTTAGCCATAACCTCCAACCGCCCGAGTACGCCAATCTCCAATCAGAGGCGACAATAAGAAATTTATTTCTTTTTTCTTTACATGTATCTTTTTGTTCTCGGCAGTCTTAAATTGGAAGCCAAGTCTATGTGTCAACTAATACCCCGCGCGCAAGATATTCGTATCTCTTGTCAGCTTGGTGTTGAGGGCCTTGCCTCTCCGGAGCCCGCCGACCCCACATTCGTTCCCCCTCGGTGCCCCGTGTCCGATTCCCTTCCCCAGGAGATTATGTACGAGGAGGGGTTGTCGGACGGGGGTCCACCGCGTCGTCCTCAAGCTAAGGGGAAGATAGGGACGGGACGGCAATGAAGCCTTATGTTTGCCGACCCACTCACAGTCTTTCCTCCTCTTGATGCCCTCCTATGAAAAGGAACCCGGCGATGGAGCAAGGAGAAAGAATCACCATAGACAACACAATTGGTTCCGTAGTTGCAGGAGTTGAAGTAGGAAACTAGACCAAAGGATCAAAAGGCCTGCAGGTCGGAAGAGGAGGGCGGAAGAAAGAATTTGCCGTAGGAGAGCGCCGATGCCATCGGTTCGTTCCCTCCGGGCCCGAAGACGAGGCCCGCTACTTTCCGCGATGTGAGGGGTCTCTCTTCCTCGCACCCTTGCCGGGGCGGGAAAAGAAGAGGAATGCAGATGATGAGGACCCTGCATGCATTCGCGGGCAGAGCGAACGTACACACATACACACACATACACACACTAATACTCATGCAAAGCGGAAGAACGAGGCCACGGGCAAGCATTGGTGCTGTTGTCTGTGTGGACTGGCAGCCGGCTGTGGCTCTCTCGGAGGCTTTACACCAATAACGTATGTTTTGAGCGGAGAAAGTCGGGATCGATCTCTTAGCTTTTTTGTGGCTGGAAGAAACTCACCGCAGGCAGGATTCTGGCGGTGTCATGGAAACGAAGCAAGTGTTTTGAAAATTCTTAGATCGTGGCGTATTGCTTGAGAAGGCAGCTACGAATTGCATATAGTTTCGGGAATACGAGGAAGCGGTGAGGTGGGCGAGGGAACACGGAAAGCTGAGGAGATACAAGGTCAGCTCTACGACGGAACGCAGAGACAGCGATGTCTCCGCTCATGAGGAGTTGCCTTGATAGCGTTATGAGGTCGACTCTAGTGTTTGAGTGTTGCATGTTGATGTGGAGGCAAGCGTCGCGCATATCTTCGGTTGTCGCATGCCATAGCCATCACGGGGCTGCGGTGAGAAGGGTGGCCCTTTGCTCCGAGTGGAGTCACTCTCATATATCAGCCTAGTGATGTTCATCCAGCTCCCGGTATTTGATATGGTTAAAGATGGGGATGTAAGTGCCCGGCTTGACTCCCTCCCGTACCTACACCGCGTTGAAAAGCCTTGGGATTTATAATATCAAAGGCCTCATTTTTATTCCTTATCCTTCCTTTGCTATTTTTGCTCTTTTGAGGCCCTTCATCTTTGTTTTCTAAGCTACAGCTTTGGGCAAGGCTTGCTTCCTAGGCAGTGCCCACCTCGTGCCGTGGCTAAGCCGCGAGGCATGGTGAGCAGTGCGAAACTCTGACGCGGGTTGGCGGGGGTCAAGGCTGCGTGTTCGGTACTCCGTTATCAATCGCTCTGAATCTTCTTACTTTTCTCTAATCCTGATTTCTCATGGGGCGGCAGCCTCATCCGCGTGATATATCGGTCGCCCCAGCTGAACTAGGCAACCCCGGGTACGCCGGGAATGGGACCTCAAGTTTCGATTTCGAGTTTTTGAGGGGAAAGAAGAGGGGGAAAGAGTCATGAAGCTACGCTTCCATAAAGCTTTCGATTAGGCAACCGGAGGGTTTGGAGACCGAAACGCTGGTGATGGCAACCGCGGCATAGGAGAAAAATGAATCAACTAGTGTCCGCCGCGTCCCGGTTACATTAAGCGCCACTGCCATCATTTCAAAGGCAGGGGAAAGGCTCCTGGTAGTGAAGGGGAGCTCGGCAGGGGAGGGGGAAAGGAAACAAGGTTCACGGACGGTGTAAGCAAGTGTGTAAGAAAGTGGAGGCATGACGAGCCCGATGCGTTGGATGACGAAAGGCCATGGTAGGCAGGTGGGATAATGGCTATCGGTGTTCTACGTTGTGAAGACAGACCAGACAGATAGATCCAATGCGTGGATATATCCAAGTATTCAACCCTTTCCCGCTCTAGTACCGTTACGAGTTTGGGAAATATAAAAAAGATAGAGACGATGGGAAAGGGAGCGACCAACATCGCCAAAGCGGAAACCTTCAATGTCAGCGTTTGCGGACACATGTGGGGATGTGGAATGGATAGAGCTCCAGTCGACTCCCGCTTTTTTGCCTATTTTTCCTTCTTTCTTACGTTTCCACCCCGCAAACTTTGCGAACATGGCACAAGCGTTTAGTGTTTTGTTGGGACTCTTGTAGCAGTAACATCAACTTGCTGTTTCTTGGCCCTTTGCTCCTTTTTTTTTTTTTTCCTCTTCTCTCATTTCTAGTTTTGAGCGGGAGATTTGTGCCAAGTTTGCCATCCATCAGAGGTGGAAGATGTGGGGGAGATGATGCTGACGGTCTCCGGAAGCTACGGGTTCGGACGTCTCGGGCGGGCGGCATCGGCGGCACGGGAGTTTGGCAAATCCGACCTTCGAAATAGAGTCACCCTCCCCACTATCTCGGTTTTCGTCGTTTTCAATCGCAACTAGTATGTTGTTTCCCTCCGTGTTTGTAAGAGACAGGCCCGGATTGTAGAGTGCTTATTTGGCAACCTCCCGCGTCGAAAACCTGTTCCCTCCTCCGTCTCCTCGTTTTGAGATGCGTAGTCATAGTTCCGCAACCCGCGCGCTAATGCTTCAAGTGACGGCCATCCCCCAAACTCGTCAGGTGAAAGCAATCCGATGAGGGACCCTTTCACAGCCAGGCATAGCTGCTTGCGCACTCTGGCTCTCTCACATGCCATCCTCTCTTCTTCCCGCGACAGGCTCGTATAGCAAAGGGAATATGCGAGACCAGAGGCACGGCTACTATATAAGAAGTGAGCCTAGAAATGGACAGCAGAAATGCAAGCGGGCGAATGGGATGATGCAGCAAACGGCCAACCTAGACCAGCCTTTGTTCCCCTGGTGACTTCAACAATTCACTTAAGAGTAAGGGCCAAGAACGTGAAAGGAGTATAACCAAGACAGACACGTTGAGCTCCTTGCAAGGCTCACCTGCATTTGCAAAGAAAAGTAGATATCGCAGCCCATTCTTCCTACTCTTGCACGAAAAAGAGCGTGACGGACGGACCCTTCGGATACCTTCATCCCATCCACCCATTCGTTGCTCCCAAGAGCTGCAATGTTCGGTATCTTTAGCGGCATGACTCCCCAAGATGTCGCCTTTGAATTCGTCTACGGCGTCGGAGACCCCACGCGGCCGGTACGGACGGTCAAAGGCACGGAAACCCGGCGTGCCGGCCCTCTCCGCTTCCAAACGGCGACCCGCGAGGATGAAGTAGACACCGACGACGAGGATGAGCGGAGGGACGCAGTTCAAGAGTCCTCATCGGCAAGCTCCACCCCTACGACCCTCAGCTCAAGCAGACCAGAGACACCAAACCACCGCGCGCGCACGCCCCGCCGTCCCGGAGGCGGTCGCAACCGGGCCGACGACGGGCGCCGAGACCATACAGCACCGAGGTCCGGGTGGGCGACGAATCCTTACCCCATTCCCGCGACGGCTCCACCTCGTCCCCGGCGACCGACTCTTCGCGCGGTCACGACTCGAGGTTGGAGACCGAGGCTCTGGTGCATGCGGTGACGAACAGGGTCCTCGACGCGCTGGATGGCGAGATTGACGCCATGGTGGGCGAGAGGGTGCGAAGTGCGCTGGAGCGCGAAGGGCTTGGGGGTGTGGGGAGGGCTCGGGTGAGGAGGGGTTGGGGGAGAGGAGGTGTGGTGTGACGGAGGATGAGTGGGAGATTATCGATGAACCTAGAGGAGAGTGTGGGAGGCATGGTCGGTGAAGGGGGATGGGCGGAAGGAGGGAGAGCAAAGAAAGAGAATTGTGTTACCTCTGACAATGGGAGAGGCCATTCCCTCTTGAAGCTGTGTGGATAGACGTCGTGGATAGGTGAGGGGCGTGTTTCTCTACATACTGGCCGCAATATCAAGTGTTTGTGCCATCTATTTCGGAGTGAAGGTGATGGCGACTGGGACTCCTCGAGAGGATAGGGGAAGGCCTTTTCTGGAGGGGGACACGTCTTCAAGCTCCGGATATACCAATTTCTTCAAGCAGTGCCTCTGATCAGTTCCAATCCTTTCTCTATCTCGTCGGGCCCGTCCCTTCCTCTCCCCGTCTACAGGTTCCATTCCATCCCTTAATTCGATAAGCGTGTTACTTACTCCTATGGCCTTAGGAAAGCCCTTCGATCATAGCAGCCCTTAGGGACCAGGTTTTATCCACGAAATCTCTAAACGCATCAGGACACAGAAACGGGCAGTATCATTGCTTGTTGAAGAGGCCCACGCCTCGAAACAAAGTATCTGTTCCCTACGCACTACACACTCACAGTTGCTTGTGTTAGAGATGGTGTTCACTACGCAAGTAAGGAAGTGGGCGAAAAACGCAGGGCACATATCGCGAGCAACCTGATCACCAAGATAGACTATCCCAAGAGCACACCGCAACCTCTCCCGCATTTCTGTTACGCCCTTTTTTTTTTTTTTTTTTTTTTTCTGGCAACATGGAATCAATATTTGATGCAAGGCTCGGCAAGACCCAGGGGCGGGCTTTTGAGCGCGGAAGATGGAAGGCTAGCTGAGCGTACGTGAGAGACAACAAGCCTGATCTGAGAGGAAGAGAAGCGGTTTCCCTTGTGTCTGCACGAGACACGACAGCGATGACAGCGACAGCGGAAACCCACGAACCGGTGGTGCGGTACCGTCTGGCCAGAGTCATCAGTCAGTCAGGCCGTATGTCAGTGGCCGGGTCTGACCACCCTTGGAACATGACATCTAGACTGTCAGCCAGTCAGTTCGTTAGCCAACACAAGTCTCAGTTGCACGATAGCTGTTCGAGCTGGGACGCGCGTGAGAGTGCTGGCGCCATTTTCCCATCTGGCTTCGGAAGCGTCTTGCATAGACAGAGGGTCAAGGTTGCTATCGAGTTGGCAATCCTGACGGCATCGGTGATTACTTTTCGCCAACCGCATGGAAACCAGGCGACGGTGGCGCGACACAGGCACAGGCACATGGGCGGGCGTTGGCTACGGATGGGCCTAAGACCACTTGAGGCGACCACGCCCACGAATCATCCAGAGTCCCCTCCTCTATCTTAGTGAGCTGCTATACCCCCTCGTGGGCGTTCACTGAATGCGTGATGCTCACGCCTCGTGCTCCCCGCCCGAGCTTAGGAATCCATGGTCGTCTACACATGTGCTAGGTGTGGAGCAAGCCACTGTGAACGCCGGCAGACGGTGGGAATCGCACGGGGCGGGGTTTGAGGAACGCCTCTCTACGCTACTCGTGCTAATTGATTGCATCTGACGGGCGCCGGGGACGGGGGCTAGCCACGAGAGTACACTAGACATGAGAAGAGAAAACGGTGGTGGAGAGGAAGAAAAGAAAAAGAAAAGAAAAGCCATGCAACGCCCGTCCCAGCTCAACAGAAGGAGGCTCTCACCACTAGTCTCGTGTCTCTTCATTTCACCTTGTTCAGACTTTCCTAGCCCTTTCATGGAGAAGCGTAAGCCCCGGTGTTGGGTTTGGATGATCATGGACCAGGACGCGCACTTGTGTGTGGAGAGCTCCTTTTCCGATATGGCTACGGCTACATTAAACGCATCGAGAACAGGACGGAAGACCCGCCCAGCGCTGAAACGTGGTCTGGTTTACTTAGACAGAGGGTGCCAATACCTGCACTCGTGGGAAGAGCCGATCCTGTTTATGTGAATCAAGCATTCCATTGTTTCCATTGATCTGATATATAAATGGGACCATGACATTAAATCCAGTGTGGGCACGTGTGCGCACCAATTTCTAGTAGCTCATATCCATCCATGGATGTGTGCGCACATGTATCCATTCCAATGACATTGAATGGAGGGGAGTCCGGAGACTTTGGCCATGCGCTTTCATGAGACGAGGTCGCCGGCATTCGCTCCATGCACAAATGCGTTCCTGATCTGCAGGTACAGACTCACTCCATCTATTAGCGCCGCGCCTCAACCGTGGATTTCTAACCAGTTTGGAAAGATTCAATCCCGAACAGATGAACATGCACTTCAAATTCCACACAACAATTCGAGGGTTAGGTGACAAAACCGAAGAGCGCAAACCAAAGGAAAAAAAAATATGTTGACGAAGAGTGTATCTCCTCGTCGTGTTACATTCCCCAAGACCCTTCTTCATTTCCTTTTGCCTTCAAGTGCTCAGAGTGTGAAACAAGAGGATCCATCTCGGTCTCCGCCTGGCTGTTTCGCAACGATGGATCCCCACATCCTCCTTTTCGATTTTCCCCCTTCTTTTTCTAAACTTTTCAATTCTTTTTCTCTCCCCGCTCTCCCCGCTCTCCAATAATTAGCTTACTTTCCTTCTTTGGCTAGAACCTGTTCATGCATCCATATTTCACTAAGAAGCAATATGGTGGTTCATCTTCTCGCGTCGTGACGAGGCGCCGCTGCTGGTCACTGACTCAAGGTCGCCCATGCGATGCGAGCACAATGCCATGTAATAGTCAGACTCTCGCCACAACTGCGTGGAAGTGAGTGAACCAGTGGTGTCCTATCCCATTTCAACATAAACGTTGGAAAAAAAGGAAGAAAAGAAAAATACCCCTCCCCGTGGGTTTTCCTTTTCTTTCCTCTTCGAGTATGCCAGGGCTGGAGTTATGCGAAACAGAAAGACCGGTCGTCTCGGAGGGCTTGAAGCTCGTGCGTCCAGAGCCACGCGGAAGGTGAGGTTGGTCGCGTGTTCCCGTCCCTCATCTACGTGGGAATGCCCATGTTTGTGCGCACCGGACCGCGGCTCTTCCGCTGTGCCACGAGAGCCATTTAGGGAAGCATTGAAGTCTACCCCCTTACGAAGAATAGACCGCCGAGGCCGGGCGGATAATGTTTGCGCTTCTCGCTTATTGAGTATAATGCTGTTCCACAACGCACCCGGGCTCGCTGATGTTCCGGCTAAGTGAAAAAAAAAAAGAGAAAAAAAGAGAGAAGCCACGAGCAAATGGATGCGATGAACGGGAGAGGATCATTTCGCCGGCGTCATGCCTTTCCTCCGCCCCTTTAACCGTTGGCGACTCACAGGCCGGATCCGATGGTCTATAATGGGCGAATAGACGATTTATGGTGGATTAATCCATTCAATGTTGTGTGGATTCAATGGATGTTCAAAGTAACAAAGGGAGGCCAAAAGGGGACAAAGGGGAAGGGGCAAAGGGGCAAAGGGGCCCAGATCAATTAGAGCCTCCAGTCTGTTCCGATCCCCCTCCCCTTGGCTAACATTGAACACCCGGAAGAGTCCCAAAAGAAAAGGGTCGCATTCGATGTTAAAGTGGTTGCGTCTCAAGCTAGAACTCCCGTGGTAGGGTCGGGATGCCGTCATGTTGACATGGTCAGGCGCTCGGCGTTGAACTATAATCGGAACAATCTACACCAACAGGAAATTTGACGACTACTACAGATATTACCTTAACAACAATTTAACGGATCTTATGGAACTCAACGGTCTTTGAGGCAAATTTATGAGCAAAGGAGAGATAAGAAAAAAAGCATAGAAAAAGCCTCGAGGAGAGCTCCTTCAGTTTGGTCGCACTGGGAAAGTGTCCCCATAAGGGCCTTCCTCGGTTCAATGTTCTCCATGCCGATTTCAATCTCTCAAAAGCGCGCGCGTACGAACTAGCACGCGTTCCTTGCTACATGTACAATTGGAAATCTTTGTACTGCATCGTATATTCTTCGAGGAGACGACGGGGCCATATTGGTTCCTGGATAGGTTACGGATTCTATGTTCTTAACGCTTCTCGCGACCAAGCCAACATTGAAGACATTGGAGCCCACTCCACGCTCTACGCTCTACGGGACAATCATGGTTTTGCTAGTTGCCAATCGGCGGGAATATGGGGCTGATGGGCCGGAGAAACGGCGGGGCAGGTTTCGAAAGCCAAAATCAAGTTGTGTCCTGGTCGATCACTCGTGTCGTTCCTTCTTCTGATCCCGTTTTAGCCTCCATCTCGATGCTTTCTCTTCGTCTTGATTATTGACCGTATGGATGGGATAATAGGATATATCACGGTATTAGCTTCCCAACGTCTTGGAGAAGGGATCGAGCTAGCTTGGCAGAAGAAGAACGGCACTTGAGGTGACGGGCGACCGGCAGTGATGAGATCAACTGCGGCGCCGATCCCTCACGACGTTGAGGGCATGATATGTGAGCCATGAAAGTGCTTGCCACTCGGAGCCGAGAGCGCAAAAGCCCCGTGCTGGTTCGGCACATGTTGAATTTCAATCTTACGTCCATTCTCTTCTTTTTTCCGTTTGGGTTATCTAAAAGGGCGTAGAGTGGGGAGTGCGATCATGACGACGTTGGTCGTGGATCCATCACTCATTCCCGACAATGGATGTAGTAATGAAAAACATAGTGGAGGCTTGCGTGTTGCGTTGCACGTTACACTGAGTCGCTCGCAACCAAATCTCGATCAATGTACGTTATATCCGAACCCAGCAGACCTATGGTTCTCTTCTCCGAACAACATTGAAGCGGCGGAAGAATGCATGTATTGACCATAAATGGCATAGGTAGTAGTCGATCAATTGATAGACTTCTCCCGAGATAAGAGGGGTTGGCACATTCATCAAGTTTGTTGGTGCCCCATCGATGACGTTGCCAGGCACAGATGCGCGAGCCTTTTATTCCCGGCTTCCAAGAAAATTGACCGAACAGGATAGGCATGTAAACATTGA